CAAGCAAGAGGTACCTAAGAAATCTCCTCAGGATATATTACAATATAACCATGGTAACAGAGGTCTCCTAATATAATGTTTTCTAAAAACTAAAATAATTTTACCAGGACACCTTGTTTCTTGTCCTAAAATAATTCCAATCACCTGAAGCCCTATTTGTTGTATGTATATATTAATAACTACCCTTACTGTATTTTCACAGATAAATCCAATATAATAAGTCCGTTTTTAAAAGATTCAGAAATGACTTTCCAATGTAGAGTTTGATTATATGAGATCAGGAAGAGGAAAGGTGGTAACGTGTTATGAAATAACCCTAGTACATTAGGCCAGGGAGAGAAAAGAACTGATGGAGAGGTATTGCGCAGTCAATCCCAACAGACATGGTTGCTTTGTTTGCACATTTTTCTTAGCATATAGGTGCTTGAGCTCTGTGATGTCACCTAGGTATTTTCCAAGGACCACCGTGTTGCCTTAAACAGTTTTTAGAATTTTTTCTCTCACACCGACTTCCAACTTGGAAAAGAGAGAGTCAGGGAGAGAATTTCTCTTTCCAGCTATATCAAGGCAATGTGGTGTGGAGTTCAGAGCAAACAACTGAACTAAGGGATCTTGTAAGGATAGGGACCACCTGCTCTTTATCTCCTTAGGGGTGAAACTAAAAGAAAATGGCAAAAAGAAAATTAAGGAGCAAAAAAGATTTTTATTAGGAATAAGAAAAAAAAAACATGTTGACTGTAAGGGTAATTAATGCTATAAACAAGTACCAAGGGAGGTTGTGAAATTTTCATTGCTAGAAATTTTTAAAAGCAGAATCGATAGCCATCTGTTTCACATGGTTTAATGACTGACTTGCGTAATGGCAAAAAACTGGAAAAGGTGAATTCTTCAGGCTCCTATCAGATAATTGTCTTATTTATATATGTTACAATATATGTAATAAAACATAGCACTTTAGGCAGATAATATTTCTGATTCTGTGTATACCCTGCTGCCACAAAAAGAAGAAACTGAATGAGCAATGCAAAATACCCTACAAATATTATCTGTTGAAATGCAACATTTTTCCAAAAGTGGGCTTCATATTTCAGTAGCTACCCAAGCATACTACCATGACCAAATCCAAAGCATCATAAAACATGATACACACATAATTACTTCTCCAGTGTTCAGGGTCAGTCATCTAATTGCTACAAATGGTCTATCACACTTACCTGCTGGGCCTGGTAAGCCAGGTTGTCCACTCAGTCCAGGTTGCCCTGGGTCTCCAGGCAAACCCTGGTGACCTTTCGGCCCTGAAACTCCAGGAATACCTTACAAGGATGAATAGAAGAGACAAGTTAGACTGATATCATTAATCCATTAAATAAATTTGGCAAAGCAAGCTACTTAAGTTTTAAACTATAAGTGAACTAGAGGAATGAGTGATGTTCTAACATAGTATGAACCATTAGCACTGGACTCATACTAAAATCCTCTACATTTTATTTACCTAACACTAAGAAATTCAGAGTACTCAATAACTAAGTCAATTTCTTCTTTGGGCCTCAGTTTCTTACAATGTAAATTGAAGAAATTAGTACAAATAATCTCTAAGCTATCTCTTAGATTTTGACTATATTTAAGATCCCTATAGTAGAGGTCAAGTACATTTTATTGTCCCTATTACACAGAAAGCACAATTGGAAGAGAAAAGGAGCTGTGTAAGGGGTAAACCAAGAAAGAAATCCCATTTTAGCAATACTAATAATAATAATAATTACGTGGCTTTCCCTCTTTCGTGACTATATGTGAAACCTCAACAATATCTTAAATTCTTTTTAAAGGAAAATCCTACCAAATTCTGCTCATAGGGAAACTTACAACATCTGTGTACACACACATACTTACGTGCACACACAGACTGACAATATTAATGTTTAGAACACAAAAGAGCCACAGACTTTACTACAATCTGCAGATAAATAGCTAGTTTTAAAGTTTTATATTGTTTAAAAGGCTATTTTGTATAGATTGCATTGTAAGTGCTTTATATAATGATTTATGCTTATCCATATTTTATGATGTCTTGATATGAACATATTATACTTTTATACCTTATTTGCTTTTAATAAAATAACTATAATAACACAGTTGTTCCCTAGACCTACTTTGAGTGGCTTTCCCCAGGGCTGAGCTTGGCTGTTCATAGTCCAATACTTGTTTATTCTGCCAAGGTAGAATAACAGTGAACTATATTTAAAAGCCAAGTATGATATGGATATCAAAATACTGCAGAACAACAATATACCATTCATCCCCATCTGATTTCAAGGGGAAAAAAATGAAAAGGACCAGCAAATTTCCTAAACACTGAAATATGTTTTCCAAGTGATTGTGGCTATATATTCTTTTCTCTCTACCACATTCTGTACTACTTCTATAATGCTTTAAGGTGACTGCCTAAGTCTATTTTAAAACCTCACAGTTTGTGACAAGTAAACTACAAAGAAAATACTAAAAAGTTGATCAGTAGACATTGGAGACATTGGAGACTCAGAAGGTTTAGGGGGTGGAAATGGGGGGTGGACGATGAGAAATTACTTAATGGGTACAACATACATTATTCAGGTGATGGATACACTGAAAGTCCAGATTTCACAACTGTGCAATATATCCATGTAACAAAATTGCACTAGTACCCCTTAAATTTGTACAAATAAAAAAAGGTGATCGGTGAAACAGTATGAATCAAGTGAAAATTAATATTCATTAACAAAATTTGACGCATCTAAGTGCTTTTTGTTAGTGAATTCAGTACTACAAGTCACTTTTCACGTTATTTAAAAATTAAATTTCAGATATACCAGAAAAAGTATTCATAAATAAGTGCACCCACTCACCTGGTAAGCCAGGCTCCCCCTTCTCTCCTTTTGAGCCAAGCAAATTTGGATCCATTGGTCCAGGAGGGCCAGGAAGGCCAGGCTCTCCTTTACTACCTTTTTCTCCTGCAGGGCCAGGAAGTCCTGGCTGACCCTGCAAGCCATCATCACCTAAAATCAACGGTTGTGTGTAAGACACAACAGATCAGTTTTATTCATCCAGGATTAATGCATATAAAGATTTTTCATATGTTTCATAGTTGGGTAGACCACTGGCCACCCAAAATATTTATGCAGCTTAGTTATTGTCTATGAATTACTTGAGTGCATATACATTTTTACATTCAAATTAACAATCCCTCTTTCTTCCGGAATTCCTTAATAATGATAAAGACTGACTGTAAAAAAAATCAAAGCACAATCTTTATATTTTGTTATTTTGAGCTAAGCATTCACCATGTTTCACGGTATCCAAAGTAAACTTGCTACCAAATTGAAAATAAGACCTATTTAAATGCCATGTTACATAGAAACAAAATACAATTAAGTATTTCTCACTTTAAAGTAATCAAACAAAAAAAATTCTGCATTGACAAAAAGCAATGTTTAATTTTCCCTCTCATACACATCTGGCAGTAAACTCTGAATATTACCTTTAAGACCAGGAACACCACTCCTGCCAGGAATTCCCAAAGGTCCTTGTGGGCCTGGAGGTCCCATCATACCCATTTCACCTTTGGCACCTTTGAAGAATATCAATAAGTAACTTTTGCCTTTCTTTGACTTTGGAAACATAAAAAGTAAGTTTTAAGATGTTAACTGGAAAACTATTAAGGGTTAGAGAAAAGGCACTGTTAATATTTACCCTTTTTCACTTGCTGTAACCTTAGTGATCACTATTGATGATACCCATGCAGGAGACTCACTCTGGTAGCTAATCTCCAAAGATGCCCCCCACAATGAACCGTATTTCCCAGTATACACACACTTATATAGCCCCCTTCCCTGGAATTTGGGCTGACTTTGTGGCTCACCATTGACTAAATGACACTGTGTGACTCCCAAAGCTAGATCCTAGGAAATTCTTGCTGCTTCTACCTGGGGTTCCTAGAACACTCACTTTTGGCTATTGGAATTTTCTCTATTAGAAGCCAGCTGCCATGGAAAGAGAACAACTCCCTGATACTACTGTCATGTGAGGAGCCTAAGCCACATTAAGAGGCACCACGAATGAGGACATGCCATGTGAGCCAAGCAACACCCAAGTATCAGAGAAGTGCTATCTTGGAAGTAGATCGGTCAGCCCCAACCACTCAAGTTGAGGTCATATGGGTTAGAGATAAATGACCCAGTCAAGCCATCCCTTAATTTCTGACCCACAGAATCGCAAGCAAGATAAAAAGGTTGATTTAAACCATTAAATATTGGGGTTGTTTATAGTACGGTAATATATAACTGGAGATCCAGAGAGAAAAAGTGTAGTGCAAAGAACAAAGTGAGTTTCCTGCAACCAAAGACGTTTAACACTATTACTTAAGGGATAGTGTCAATCCAGAAAAGTGCAACATGACAATAATCTACTAGAGTCATATTATAGTTTTAATTTTCTCAATCCAAATTAGTAAAAACGTTAAACAAATTACCTGGAAATCCAGAGGCACCAGCTTTTCCTGGGAGCCCTGGTGATCCTGGAGGTCCTATAGGACCAGGTGCTCCAGGGATCCCTGGACTACCTCTCTCACCAGGGGGTCCCGGAACATCAAACCCAGGAGGTCCTGGATTCCCTTTCTCTCCTGGTATTCCATGTAAACCTAGTTAATATAACATCAATATTAATAAGTGTTACAGCTTGAAAAGATGTATCTGGTTATTTTTCTAGTAAATAAGTGATAGAACCCTGTGTATACCAAACCTAAGAGTGAGTTAGACCTACTTTTGGAATCATGCACATAAAATGACTGAAAAATCAAGCTTTAGGATTTTCAAGCATATTTCTATGAGACAATGCTACTTAAATTATTTCTGGCCAAGGACCAATCTTTTCTTAATTTCTAGTTCATCCACGGACTAATTTTTTAAAATAAAATATAATAAAAATTACTAAAAGTGAAATAAAAAATCAAAGACACACAAAATAAAAGCCTGTTTTTTGGGTTATTACATTGAACAAATATAATTACACTATTAAACTGCTATAAAAGTTTCTAAATGTGTATTCTCAATCTTTGTCCTAATCTCATTGCAGAGCAATAACAGTTTGTGATTCGACACTAGTCCATTGACCACACTTGGATTTGCATTGCTCTAATATATTACGAAGTATTAGTACACCTTTCTATGATCCCAAAAAATGATTAATTACTGAATGTCAGTAATATTATTTTATTTTTATTTTATTTTGGATTTGTTTTACATGTTGGTTTAATAACGCATTACTGTTAGTTTTTGTTGTTAACTTTGTTTCTCATTATTCCAACCAGGATTTTACAGGAAAAAAATGACATCACAAAAATACTTAACCTTAGTAAGTTTCTCTAAGAATGAACCACTCGAAAAAACAAGGTGGTTAAAAAAGAATATGTTTATGGGAAAAAAATTACACTAAAAACTTTGTGCATGTTTCCACTCTAAAGCCTTTTGGCTGTGAGACTTATGTGAGTCACTTAACGTTGTTGGTTCTCATCTGCTAAATGGGAATAATGCCATAACTGACTAGAAGCTGGGGGCTAAGCCAGATGATAATTCCAAGTGTCTCTTAAATAATAAGCTCTAACTTTATCATTGAAGATTCATTGGTGATCATTTTTATAGAGAGCAAGATGCTGGGATTTTAAAATCTGTTTGATGTCATATTCCAGCATGCCCTTAACACACTGCCTGCCGCACTAGAAAAAAAATTTTTCCTTGGGGCCACAGTGTTTTATTATGAAAATAGAATAAAAACTTCAAAAACAAAATGATCCTTTCTAATTTAATGAAAAATTTGATGAAAAATGAAATTTACTGACTTCTATTCATTTAATCCATGTTTTTAGAATTAATTTGTCAATACTAATTATAACAATAAGAACATTAACAAGTAAGATTTCCACAAACCAACTGCAGGGTTTTGCTCAGGTTTTGCTTCACAAGGCCCCGGGCTCAAAACTAGTGTGAGTTAAATACAACTCACATGGCAGTTAATGTGTTAAACCAATAAAAGTCACTTTGAAGATTATAGAATTCCACTCAGTTGGCACAGTGGTGATGGTTCCAAAGCTGCCATTTCATAGTAAAATACTATAAAAAGGAGAGAGATTTTATGCTATTATATTTGCAAAATACGATATGATACCTAGCAATGAGCACTATTATAGCTCTATATGGATCACTACCTATTGTTCTATTATAGTTCACATAGTTTTTTAATAGCTGCATTTTCAATATAAATAATTTGTCCTTTGAAATATGCTCCAAGAGAGTAGCTCTATAAAATTATGAAAAGAAACCAAAGACTTAAATCTAGAGGAATCTTGTTTGTTTTCCATGTTTAAAGCTTTACTTTAAGATATGGCTTTTGAGAAAGAACAACAGTACCTGGTAGACCTGAAGTTCAAGAGGCAGGGAATTATAGTTCAGCAGCAAGTTGAGCCACCCAAGCAGAAGTGAGGTGCAAAAAGATTCATTGGGTTAGGAAACAAAACTAAGCATGTAAAGATTAGAACAAAAAACTCTACAAACAGAAGCTATTAGACATTGATTCACTACTATCACATATTAGGAACAAGTAAAGGAACTTATTTTAGGCATTTGTTCAGACGTTTATATAGCATATTCTATAAATGAAATGTATTTGCCAATAAAGACACAATAAAATATTTACATTCACAAAAAGTGATACTTTTTGGTGAAGGTCAGCTTTACACCCTTGTTTATTTCTGACCTTTATATTGCTTTAAATAATCATTTTGGAATTTAAGCTCCTAAAGGTTAGTTAGAATTTAAAAATTAATTTTATTTTATACTATAACAGATTAAGTACAGAGAAATCATTAATTATTAGTGGATGACTATGAGTAAACAACTTACATGTACTAGGCAAGGATTTCTTTCTTCATTGTTATTATTATTAGTAGTAACAGACATTATGCTGTACTTTTCACAGCATAGATCTTTTCCATGAATACTGTCAGGAATAGGCATCCTGGTAAGATCCAGGATGAAGAAAGTCAATATAAATTCAAATGTTCTGCTGAATCTCCTTATACAATAATAGGAATTATATGGATATGTCTACAGAGGCTATATAGGGGTATATCGATTCTCTAAATTTACTGGCAGCCAAATGGAACCAGTTAATGGAAAAGAAAGGAAAATTTCAAAAACATGTATTATCTGTGAGAACTTTTCTCTCTCTCACACACACACACACACACACACACACACAAACCTCACTCTGCCCAAGGCTTTCACAACCTCCTACAAAAGTTAAAACTATAATGTATTCTCCTTTATCTATGAAAATGATGAATAATTCCTGGGATTTTATTGTTTTATGTGTGTTTGTTTTGATTTACATTTGTTGTGATCTTTTTATTCTCTTTAGCTGATTCAGCCACATGCTTTGTCCTGAGACTGGGAAGGGATTACAATACATTTGGCTCAGGTCAAGGTATGATCTGTGGACACGGAATAGAGTATATTTAACTTATCCCTAAAAAGATTCACTAAAGTAGTAATCTTCTAGCTAATGGCCAAACCAAATAACAAGAATCAACAACTTCCACTTCTGCCTCGATTAGTAGGTCATGAGATGAAAAGCATTTTGTTTCTAGTCCCTTGGCAATTTTTCTTTTATATCCCTGCTGTTAAATGAGGAATTGATATTTAATGGGATCTTAATTTATAAACATGTATTAAACTGTATAGCTTGCCTTGGTAAAGAGAAAGGCAAGTAATGAAAGCTTATTAAATGACAGTGGAAAACTAGAGCCAAAAGAAAAGACTGAAAAGCATAATGCAAACGTTTTACACTGGAGAGATGACAATATAGAATATTTTGCATTAAGTTATCTATTGCAAAATGAAACACAAGTATATTAAATAAGCTTATTATAAGAAAAATTGATAGTTAGAATTCCAGTCACATAGTATATGCCAGGTTTACCAAGATATTAGTAAAAGTCTTGCTGATCATTCTATTATTGAGATGTATGGACACAAATTATGATATTTTTAAAAACGGGCTAAGATAATATTCTGGTTTAGTGATGTAAGTAAAATTTCCTTAAAAATGAGTATATGTACAAATATGTATCAAATATGTATCAAATATGAAATGTGATTCATCCTGTGGTAAAAATAAAAATTGTGATTTGAGAACACTTCTATGTTACGAGTGAATTCAATACATTTTCATGCTAGTTGCTGTTAACTTCATTTGTTTGTTGAACAAATTATTATTATTATTAGTTAAAATCTTGAATTCTATGGCAATGCATACATTCACAGAAGAAATAGATGAAGTTGAATTCAGCATTATTACTTATCTTCCTGCCCATCCTATCTAGGTCTCATAAATCAATCAATCAATCTATCTAAGTTGAGAGACAGAGAACATTTGATGCATAAAACATTACAGAGTATTATCGAATTTGAAAAAGCTTGAAGCATGTATAAAAGTATTTATATTTAGTTCAGATTGGTATTAATGATGGTCTCTTCTTTTTATTCTCACTCAGATGTGATTTAAGAATTCAAAATGCTTCCAAAACTTCACGGACTTTTTGGAACTAAAATAAATGACAAAACACAATGGAAGTGATAAATTCATTTTATCCATCTTTGTGAAATAGCAGGTCAAGCCTTTAATGGTCAAGCCTAAAAATAAATAGTTTTTCTCAAGATCCCTCTGCTATGCTAGTTGGACAGAATGGTTTTTTTCTGTAAGTGATGAAGTAGCTATTTTATAATAACCCAATTCGAAGCAATACTCTAAGTTTTCTTATTTTTAAATCATTAGTGACATATCAGAGGCCATGAAAAAAGGTACAATATGCCATAAAATCAATTCATATTTGTTTTAATTTTATGAATTATTATAGTATTTTATAATAACATAATGCTGGCCCCAAGGTGGCCCTTATTGTGACTGCCTAGATTAAGATAATAAGAATTCACATCACCAACCAGCTCAGAATCCACAAACTAAATATGCTCTCACACAAACATATGAGAAATCATATGATTCTCTATCTATAGAGGCAAATTCATTAGGTTACATGTTAACAAAGCTTTTTCAGTATCCAGTAAAAAATATTTAAAATAAAAGTTTAGAGCGTTTATGAGTTGCAAAGGGATTGCTGGCTTGAGAACAAAAAAAGGAAAAAAAAATCAATTCATTTATTTTTTAAAAAAGAAAAGGAAATGAGAATGCCTAAAATATATTTTTACGGAATGTTTTTGCTAGTCCTTATGTGCTAAGAAATGTTAAGAGGTTCCACAGACAAAGGTCTATTAATACTGTACAGTTAGTCAGGTCTGAAATGATCAACACTAAAGATTTTTAGTGTCTATGCTTCCAAAACTATGTCTAGCTCAACAATTATATGTCAATAGTAACATACTGCAGTTGTTAAATTGCATTATTGGAAATAAATAGATCAATTTTAGATGAACAGGGAGGGGAAAGCGCAGGGATTAAAGTAGCTCTAATGCTGTGCCCTGTATTTTTTCGCTTTTACAAAACCATACACAAAGAAGTGTTACCTCTGAAGTCTGTTTTCTGGAAGACTGTTATGTAGGTTTCACTTCGTTGATGAGCTAACCAACCTATATATTATGAGCAATATAAAATGTACATTTACTCCAATCTTACCAGGTTGGCCTATTGGTCCAGGAAGCCCTGGTGGTCCTGGTGGTCCCTGAACACCTATTCCTGGCAGCCCAGGAGGTCCCACTGGTCCAGGCTGTCCATTTGGTCCAACATCACCTTTAAGAAATAAATGTAGTTTAGATATTAAAAACAACAATAGCTGAGTCACTAGTCCTTAGGAATGACAATACCCATGTGAAAAGGCACATTATATAAAGCAGGGATCTTTAACAACTGGCCATTCATTTAGCAAGAAAAGTACACATAAGTATACAGAGCGCAGGATAGGGAATCCATCAGTAGTTATAGCCTTATAATTTAACAAATGCTGAGCACTACTTCAGTACTTAAATCAACCTCACAAAATAGTACAAAAGATTACAAACCACACATTACTTCTACTTGAAGCTCATCTCGGGCAGGTGTTCATTTATAAGTTTAAAATATATTGTCAAATTACCTGTATTTTAAAGTAAATAACCCTCAACATCTTCCTTTTTACTAAGTCAGGGTTGTGGCCTACAAACATGCTTAAGCCTCTCCCATCCTCAGTAAAACATCTCTTTGACATTAGAAACTTCACTGTCCCTCTCTCCATCTTCTGTCTGTCTCTCTGTCACTCCCACTTTAAAAAATTTTTAGATGTACTAAAATGTACTTTTTAGTGTACACTCTGATAAGTTTTGAGAAAGGTATATAGTCATATAACCAACACCAAAATCAAGATATAGAACATTTCCATCAGCCCAAAAAGGTCCCTGAGCCCTGGAGTCAATTCCTCCCCATGTCCCAATTCCCTGGCAACTGCTGATCTATTGTATGTCTTACAGTTTTTCCTTATACAGAATGTCAATATAAACATAATCACACAGTATGTAGCCTTTTTCAGTATGTCTTCTTTCACTTAATATAATGCACATGAGATTTACCCACGTTGTTGTGTGTATCAGTATTTACTTTTTATTGGTGGCTACCATTCCATCATACACTACATTTTGTTAATCTTTTCACCATCTGAAGGACATCTGGGCTGTTTCCAATTCTTGGTAATTATGAATTAAGTTGCTATGAACACTAACCTACAGGTTTTTGTGACGCTTCACATTTTTCTTAGGAGTAGAATTGCTGTGTCATATAGAAAGGCTATGTTTAACTCTGTGAGAAATTGCCAAACTGTCTTTCAAAATGGCTGCAACGTTTTGCATACAATGTAGGAGGGTTCTAGTTACTATGCATCTTTGGTAGAATTTTGTACTGTCAGTTTTCCTTCTTCTATTCTAAAACCAATTCTAATAATTATGTAGTGGTATCCCATTGCGGTTTTAAATCACATTTCATAGATGAATAATTAAATTGAGCATCTTTACATGTGCTTATTAGCCATTTGGATGTCTTCTTTGGTGAAGTATCCGTTCAAATCATTTGCCAATTTTTCCAACTGTATTTTAAAACTTTGGTTGTTTGTTGTTTTATTTTAGCATATTATGGGGGCACAAATATTTAGGTTATGTATATTGTCCTTGCCCCACCCAAGTCAGAGCTTCAAGCATGTCCATCCCCCAGAAGGTGCGCACCGCACACATTAGGTGTGTATATACCCATCCCGTCCTCCCCACTCCCATCTGCCCAAGACCTGATGAATGTTACTACTACATGTGCATTTAAGTGTTGATAAGTTAATACCAATTTGATGGTGAGTATGTGTGGTGCTTGTTTTTCCAGTCTTGGGATACTTAGTAGAATGGGCTCCAGCTCTGTCCAGGATAATACAAGAGGTGCTAGATCACCATTGTTTTTTGTGGTTGAGTAGAACTCCATGGTATACACATACCACATTTTATTAACCCACTCATGTATTGATGGGCACTTGGGTTGTTTCCACATCTTTGCAATTGTGAATTGTGCTGCTATAAACATTTTAGTGTAGGTGTCTTTTTTATAGAATGTCTTTTTTTCTTTTGGGTAGATGCCCAGTAATGGGATTGCTGGATCAAATGGTAGTTCTACTTGTACCTCTTTGAGGTATCTCCATATTGCTTTCCACAGAGGTTGTACTAGTTTGCAGTCCCACCAGAAATGTATGAGTGTTCCTATCTCTCTGCATCCTCACCAACATTTCTTGTTTTGGAACTTTTTGATAAAGGCCATTCTCACTGGGGGTATGTGAAATCTCATTGTGGTTTTGATTTGTATTTCCCTGATGATTAGAGATGTTGAGCATTTTTTCATATGTTTGTTGGCCATTAGTCAGTCTTCTTCTGAAAAGTTTCTGTTCATGTATTTTTGCCCACTTCTTAATGGGGTTGTTTGGTTTTTTTCTTGCTGATTTTCCTGAGTTCTATATAGATTCTAGTTATCAGCCCTTTATTGGATGTGCAGCATACGAATATTTTCTCTCATTCTGTCGGTTGTCCGTTTGCTCTTGCAATAGTTTCCTTGGCTGTGCAGACGCTTTTTAATTTGATTAGGTCCCATTTATTTATTTTTGTTGTTGCTGTGATTGCCTTTGGGGTCTTCTTCATAAATTCTTTGCCTGAACCAATGTCTATAAGAGATTTCTCAACATTTTCTTCTAGAATTCTTACAGTTTCATGCCTTAGGTTTAAGCCTGTTATCCACTGTCAGTTGATTTTTGTGAGAGGTGAAAGGTGCAGATCCTGTTTCAGTCTTCAACATGTGGCTATCCAATTTTCCAAGCACCATTTTTTAAATAAGGATTCTTTTCCCCAGTGGATGTTTCTGTCTGCTTTGTCAAAGACTAGATGGCTGTATGAGGATGGTTTTATATCTGGGTTCTCAGTTCTGTTCCATTGGTCTATGTGTCTGTTCTTGTGCCAGTACCATGCTGTTTTAGTTACTATAGCCTTGTAGTATAGCTTGAAGTCTGGTAAATTCATGCCTCCCAATTTGTTCTTTTGGCTTAAGATTGCTTTTGCTATATGGAGTCTTCTCTCATTCAATGCGAGGTGTAGAATTATTTTTTCTAGATCTGTGAAAATGGTGTTGATATTTTAATAGGGATTTCATTGAATCTGTAGACCACTTTGGGTAGTATAGACATTTTAATCATGTTGATTCTGCCAACCCACGAGCATGGTATGGTTTTCCACCTGTTTACATTTTCTGCTATTTCCTTCGTAAGTGTTTCATAGTTCTCCCTGCAGAGGTCTTTCACCTCCTTAGTTAAACATATTTCTGGGTATTTTATTTTCTTTGTTGCTATTGTGAAGGGTATTGAATCTTTGATTCAGCTCTCAGTTTGACTGTTGTTGGTGTATAAGAATGCTACTGACTTCTGTACATTGATTTTGTAACCTGAGACTTAGCTGAATTTGTTTAGCAATTCCAGTAGTCTCATGGCAGAATCTTTGGGGTTTGCTAGATATAAGATCATATCTTCAGCAAATAGCAATAGTTTGACCCCTTCTGCCCCCATTTGGACGCCCTTGATTTCCTTCTCTTGTCTGATTGCTCTGGCTAGGACTTCCAGCACTATGTTGAATAGAAGTGTTGATAGAGGGCAACCTTGTCTGGTTCCAGTTCTAAGTGGGAATGCTTTCAATTTTTCCCCATTTAGTATGATGTTGGCTGTGGGTTTGTCATATATGGCTTTTATCATTGTTAGGTAAGTCCCATCTATGCTTATTTTGTTAAGCGTTCTTATCATAAAAGGGTGCTGAATTTTGCTGAATGCTTTTTCTGCATCTATGGAGACAATCATAAGGTCTTTGTTTTAGCTTCTATTTATGTGGTGAATGACATTTATAGATTTGCTTATGTTGAACTATCCCTGCATCTCTGCGATGAAGCCCACTTGGTCATGATGGATTATTTTTTTGATAAGCACCTGAATTCGCTTTGCTAGGATTTTGTTCAGAATTTTTGCATCTATATTCAGAAGGGATATTGGTTTGTACTTTTCTTTTTTTGTTGTGTCCTTTCCTGATTTTGGTATCAGGGTGATGTTGGCTTCATAAAACGTGTCGAGGAGGACTCCTTCTTTCTCGATGTTGTGGAATAATTTCTGCAGAATAGGCACCAGTTCTTCTTTGTAGGTCTGGTAAAATTTGGGTGTGAAACCATCTGGTCCAGGACTTTTTTTTTAGGAACGTTTTTTATTGCTGCTTCAATTTCAGTACTTGATATTGGTCTGTTCAGGAATTCTATTTCTTCCTGATTGAGCCTAGGGAGGCTGTGTGTTTCTAAAAATTTGTCCATTTCCTCCACGTTCTCAAGTTTATGTGCATAGAGGTTTTATAGTATTCATAGATGATATTTTGTATTTCCACGGTATCAGTTAAAATTTCTCCTTTTTCATTCCTGATTGAGCTTATTAGAGTCCTTTCTTTTCTGCTTCTTGTTAATCTAGCAAGAGGCTTGTCAATTTTGTTTATTTTTTCAAAGAACCAATTTTTTGTTTTCTTAATAGTCTGTGTCATTTTTTTGTTATCGATTTCATTTAGCTCTGCTCCGATCTTTATTTATTTTCTTCTACTGGGTTTGGGGTTAGTTTGTTCATCTTTTTCCAGTTCTTTGAGACGATTCATTAGATTGTTGATTTGTGATCCTTCTCTCCATTGGATATAGGCATTTACAGATAAAATTTTCCTCTCAGGACTGCTCTATGCTCCAGCTGTGTCTGTCCCACAGATTTTGATAACTTGTGTCTCCTTTATCATTTAGTTCAAAGAATGTTTTGATTTCCATCTTAATTTCCTCCCAATAATTGTTCAGCACAAGGTTGTTTAGTTTCCATGACTTTGTGTAAGAGATGAGAGTTTCTGTTGGAGTTGATTTCTAATTTTATCTCACTGTGGTCTGAGAAGATGCATGGTATAATTTCTACTTTTTTAAATTTGTTGAGACATGCTTTGTGGCCTAGGATATGGTCAATCTTATTTTTTTTAAGAATATTACAGGGGTACAAACGTTTTGGTTACATAAATTGCTTTTGTACCATTTGAGCCAAAGTTATAAGTGTGCCCATCCCCCAGATAGTGTGCATTGTACCCATTAGGTGTGAATTTACCCAACTCCTCCTCCCCCCTCTCACCTGCTTGATTTCTGATAAATGTTACTTCCATATGTGCACATAAGTATTGATTGATTAGTTCCAATTTAACAGTGAGTACATGTGGTGTTTGCTTTTCCATTCTGTGATACTTCACTTGGAAGAATGGTCTCCAGTTCCATCCAGGTTAATACAAGAGGTATTATTTTGCCATTTTTTTTATGGCTGAGTAGTACTGCATGGTATACATATACCACATTCTATTAATCCACTCATGCTTCTTTAAATGTTTGTTAGAATTTATCAGTGATGACATCTGTACCTGCAGTTTTCTTTGTTGGTAGGTTTTTAACTACAAACTCAATTTTTAAAAATAGATATCTGGATTATCTATTTCTTCTTCAGTGAGCTTCAGTAGTTTGTATCTTTTAAGAAATTGGTCCATTTCATCCAAGTTGTCAAATTTATAGGTGTGCAGTTGTTTGTTATATTGATATGATATAGATTTTGTTGCTATGGTATATTATATATTTTTTATTTCTTTCAATATTTCCAAGCACACCATTCTATTTGTCACAATGATACCTTTGCACGTTATTCCTGCTGCCTGGAATACCCTTCCCTGAAGACTCAGTTCAATTGTCACCTTATATACAAAACCTCCCAGGCATTTTAGAGGAGGCCCTGAATGAAAGTAATATATGAAGTAAACTGAATTCTTCCAAAGTCATCTTCTTGTTTTTTTCTTTTGTATAATCTGATTCTAATGTTTGGCCTTAAGCACATTTTCTTCTTCATATAAATATTTCCTGATAAGTATTAGCCTTATTAATTAATTATTGGTCACAATATTGTTTTGAAAGTAATATATCAACCTTTCTTACAATTTAGTTGCTGAGTTCTAATACCAGACACTGGCGTGCGTCTAGTAGGTAAATTTTTATTGTGATATGCTTGCTGAGTTGTGACTGTGGTCTACTGATCCAAAACATTAGTGATACATTTTCATAAAAGTTCCCATTTAGATAACTGCTATCATGGTCATGCCACCTAGATTTTCTTACAATAGCAAGCAATCTCTGAAATCTATACTTTTGTGTTTCTACTGATTCAAGTATTACTTAGGATGGTACATAATAAATATTTACATGGCAGAATACCACAAACACTTATTCTTCTAGCACCTTAAGGACTGTACTGGGGTTTTAGTAATTGAGAATAACTCCTATTACAATATGGGGATCCCAGATTTCCTTCTAAAGATTAGGCAAATGTCTGATAAGAAGTTCATGTTTAAAATAGTCTTCAATCCATTTCTTCACAACCCTTGTCTCAAGGACATATGTAAACAAAATATACTGAGTGGGAAATTTCCACAAGGAGACTGTTTGTCATATATATTATCATTTAGAATGTCTTTATCTGCAATTTTTGGGATCACAGGTCTATAGCTGGGAGAGATCATTGCTAGGAAATACTACCTGTAACTTTGAGTGTTACAGTTTATAGCTGGCCAGTATTATTTAGTCAAAGACAGGTATTTTTAAAAGAGATTATCTACAAAGAGTTTGTAGTGGGCTAGTTTAGGGCTTTTTCTGGCAGAATCTCTAGCCTGGTTATAATTGAGCTGGGCCATCTTATTGCTTTAATAGGGATCAATCCAACAAGTTTCAGAAACATGGACCTCTTCAGATTATTCTCTAGGACACAAAACATTGACCAGGAAAGGCCAGTTCCTTGCAAATCAAAAAGGAAAATAATTCCAAACTGGCTATGCTATTTCTATTCCTGCATATAATTAGGGAACTCAAAATTAAGGAGGTAGAACAAATCAATAGATAAATAGGTAAATGACATCAGCAGTTCACAGGAAAAAAATATATATGGCCCTTAAACCTATTAAAAAAAAACAGTCACTTTCACTCATAGGAAGGGACATACAAATTTAAACAACCCTGAAAGTAAAGACAAAAGATCTAATAAAGCCAAAAAACCACCTTTTTTTTAAAAAAAGAACAAAGTTGGTGGGTTACATTAGCTGACTTCAAGTCTCACTATAAAGCTACTGTAATAGAAACAGTATGGTACTGGCTTAAGGATAGTAAAACAGATAAATAAAAGAGAATTGATAGCCCAGAAATAGACCCACACATATACAATCATTTGATTTGACACAGATCCCAAAGTAATCAAACGGAAAGGGGGTTATTTTAAACAAATGATGCTGAACGAAAATTATTTGAGATGGACAATAGTTTTAAACCTAGAAACTAAAACTATAAAGCTTATAAAATAAAACCTAGAATATCTTGTCAACTTTGGAGCAGCAAATGTTTCTTAGACAAGACACAGAAAATTACAATTATATAAGAAAAAAATAGGCAAATGAAACTTCTATAAAATTAAAGCTTTTGTTTATCAAAATACAGTAAGAAAATTAATAGGAAAGCCAGATAGGTATGAAATATGCATAAACAACATATCTGAGAAAGGACTAGTATGCAGGATATATAAAGAACACTTCCAACTTAACCATAAAATGAGAAACAATCTATCTTTTAAATTAGACAAATTATTTGAATGTGTAAATAGTTCACAGGTACATAAAAAGGAGCTCAACATTATTAGTCATCAGGAAAATGTAAATTAAAATCACAATATGATACTACCACACACCTATAAAAATTCCAAAATAAGAGAGAATGTGGCACTGAAACTTTCATACCATATTGGTGTGAATTTAAAATAGTTTATCCATTTTGGAAAAAGGTCTAATAGTTTCTTATATAACTAAGCATATACCTATCTTATGACCCAACAAATCTACTTTTATTAGTAGTTATTTACCCAAGCAAAATGAAAGCACATATCCATAACAAAGACTTGTAAAAAATGTCCTTAACAACTTCATTCATAATAAATAGCAAAAAACTTGACACAGTCCAGGTATCCATGATATATCCATACAATAAAATAGTTCATAACTTCATTGAAAGAAAGGAACTACTGATAAACACAACAACATGGATGGATCTCAAAAAACATTATGCCGAGTGAAAAAAGCCTTACAAAGAAAGTACATACTGTATGATTCCATTTATAAAGAGTTCTAGAACAAGCATGGCGAAAAAATTCAACAGTTACGGTTGCCACTGTGATTGCTGGGTTAGGGGTTGACTGGAAAGGCGGACAAGGGAAATTTTGGGGATGATATCTTGATAGGTGTTTGCGTTACACAAGTGTATGCTTTTGCCAAAATCCAGAAACGTACACTTAATATTTGTGCATCTCATTTAATGTGAATTTTATATCAAAATAAAAGAATTAAACAGCTATAGAATTTTAGTTATGGTATTCATGCTTAAGTATCTAGAGAGAAAATATAGTGCTGTTGCAATTTATTTTGAAATGCATCAAAAAATAGATCAATGGATGGAGAGAGGGATGGATAAATAAATATGTGACAATGCACGTATAGTAAAATGTTAATAGTAGAGTATCAGTGATGGCTATATAGTAGTCACTATAAAGTTCTTTATATTTGCTGAACATTTGCAATTTTTAAAAATAAATTGTTGGCAGGGAGATAAAATGTTAATTGTATAATCTAGCCAGTAGATATATGCATTGTTCAATGTACAATTTTTTTCTGTGTGTTTGAAAATTTTTACAGTAAAATGTTTAAAAGTAAACTATACAGAGAAACTTCTATCAGGTTAGTAAAAATTTAAGAGTTTATCAGAATACTCACTTATCAAGGCTGTGGGGGAAAAGCACACTCATACACAGCAGGTGGGTGTATAATATGATGCAAATCGACAACATCTAGAGATACATTTACCCTTTAACTCAGAAAAATCCATTTTCATTACTTTATTCTACTATTATACCTGCACACATCTGAAATAATATGTATTCAGTATTCACACAGTATTTACTGTGGCATTATTTGTAATAAGAAAAGATTGGTAAAAATCCAGTCTAGCAACTAGTAGAATAAACTATGTTGTACCCATGCAATTCAATCTTAAGAAGCATTTTCAAAAAGTCAAGATCTCTATGTACTGATATGGAACAATATCCAGGATATAAAATTAAATGTAAAGTACAAAAAAAAGCCAAAAGGTAGTACTTTTTCTTTTAAGAAATAGAGAAAAGTAAAAATATATATTCTTATTGACCAGTATTTTTATAGAGGAGCACTGGAAGTATAAATAAGAAACTAAAAAATGGGTACATATGGGGATGGAGAAGAACAGAGTAGATGAAGATGGGATGGAAGGAAGACTTCTCAGTCTTACTTTCATAGATTTATGATTGTATAATCTATTCAATGAAAAAAAGACAAAAACAATCAATGGTGGATGGAAAAATGAGTGTAGCAGTGCCAGAAGGGCAGCAAGGGCTTTTCAGTTAATTGTGCTTATTACTTATAAACTTTCCCAAAAGTTTCAATTTCTATAAAAGTTAAAAGCAAGTTGAGAAATACCAACAGTCTCCATACCTTTTGGTCCAGGTAGCCCATCCAAGCCGGTGCGTCCTGGAGGACCTGGAGGTCCTGGGAAACCACGATCACCTTTTGGACCAAGTGCTCCTTTGAAACCTGGAAGTCCTGGTGGCCCAGGTGGCCCAGGTAATCCAAATCCTGGCTCTCCCTATAGAACACACATGACAAAACACAACAAAAACTCCCACGATTTTCCTGGTGCTTACTGTTCACCATAAAGAATTTAAAGCAGAAAATACAATGTAATACTTCTTTTTCCATGGTGGGGAGAGAAGATAATTCAATAAAAAGCAATTGGTATATTGGAGAAAACATGTGGAAGGATGGGAAACAGGGTTTAGTAAAACAGTGAGTTGGACTGGTTTCAGGATAAGAAAGAGATAAATGAAAGAGCATAAGATTAAAGAACAGTCTACTCAAGTGAGGAAATGTGATTATAGACAGTATTAGATAATCCTAAATAATTATTTTTAATTTGACTAGGTATGATAATGGCATTTTGGTGGTTTTTTTAAAATAAAATGTCCATTTACTTAGAGATGAATACTGGAGCTTTTAGAAGCAAAATCACATGATTTTGAAATTTGGGTTAAAATATTTAATCAAAGGAAAAAAGAACACATGAAGCAAATGTGATAAAATCTTAATAATTTTGAATCTGGGTGATGACTATATGAATGCACATTATATTATTCCTTTTACTTTTGTGTTCATTTGAAAATGTTTATAATAAAAACAACCAATAGAGAAGTGGTTTTCTCATGAGAGCTGGAGTTGTGGTTAACTGCTTTTTCCATGGAAAATAAGTAATTATGAGAAACACAGGAAGTTTAAATCAATTAAGCACAGAGAAAATGCATAGGAACAGTCAAGATAATTACATACCACAACAGTTTGCTGAAGGTTGACTGAGGAAAGTTTGAGATTAGATATTAGAAAAAGAATAGAAAGTAACTCAAACACAGTATTTATTATTATTATTACTAAGTCAATAGCAGTGATTTGTATTATGTATCTGTGATGAATTAGAACAGAGGGCAATAGTATGGGAAGGTCTTGACATGATATACAATGCCATTTCAAGCAATCATCACACAGGCATGGACAGAGATGAAAAGGACAGAGGTGAGTCTACAGAGATGCATGGGGCAGCTGGTCATTGCACAGGCATACCTCGTTTTATTGTGCTTTGTTTTACTGTGCTTTTGCAGATATCGCATGTTTTATAAATTGGAGATTTGCGGCAACCGTGCATCAAGCAGGTCTATTGGCGCCATTTTTCCAAGAGCATGTGCTCACTTTGTGTCTCTGTGTCACATTTTGGTAATTGCTGCAATATTTCAAACTTTTTGATTATTATTATATCTGTTATGGTGATCTGTGATCAATGATCTTTGATGTTACTATTGTAATTGTTTTGAGGAATCACGAACTGCACCCATACATGTTCTGACTGCTCTACCAACTGGCCACTCCCCTGTTTTGCTCCCTCTCTTCAGGCCTCCCTATTCCCTGAAACACAACAATATTGAAATTAGGCCAATTAATAACTCTATAATGGCCTCTAAGCATTCAAGTGAAAGGAAGAGTCACACATTTCTCACTTTAAATCCAAAGCTAGAAATGATTAAGCTTAGTGAGGAAGGCATGTCGAAAGCTGAGATAGACCAACAGCTAGGTCTCTTGTTCCAAAGAGTTAGCCAAGTTGTGAATGCAAAGGAAAAGTTCTCAAAGGAAATCAAAAGTGCTACTTCAGTGAACACAAGAATGATAAGAAAGCAAAATAGCCTCATTGGTGATATGGAGGAAGTTTTAGTGATCTGAATAAAACGTCAAACCAGCCACAACATTCCCTTCAGCCAAAGCCTAATCAAATAGCAAGGCCCTAATTCTCTTCAATTCTATGAAGGCTGAGAGAGGTGAGGAAGCTGCAGGAGAAAAGTTGGAAGCCAGCAGAGGTTGGTTCATAGGGTTTAAGGAATGAAGCTGTCTCCATAATATAAAAGTGCAAGGTGAAGCAGCAAGTGCTGATATAGAAGTGGCAGCAAGTAATCTAGAAGATCTAGCTAAAATAATTGATGAAGGTGGCTACCCTAAACAACATTTTCAATGTCAATGAAATAGTCTTCTACTGGAAGAAGATGCCATCCAGGACTTTTAAATCTAGAGAGAAGAAGTCAATGCCTGGCTTCAAACCTTCAAAGGACAAGCTGACTCTCTTGTTAGGGGCTAATGCAGCTGGTGACTTGAAGTTGAAGTCAACGCTCATTTACCATTCCGAAAATCCTAGGGCCCTTAACAATTATGCTAAATCTATTCTGCCTGTCCTCTATAAATAGAACAACAAAGCCTGGCTGACAGCATATCTGTTTATAGCATGGTTTACTGAATATTTTAAGCCCACTGTTGAGACCTACTGCTCAGAAAAAAAGATTCCTGTCAAAATATTACTGCTCATTGACAATGTATCTAGTTACCCAAGAGCTCTGAGGGAGATGTACAAGGAAATTAATGTCGTTTTCACGCGTGTTAACACAACATCCTTTCTGCACCCCATGGATCAAGGAGTCAATTTGACTTTCAAGTCTTATCATTTAAGAAATACATTTTGTAAGGCTATAGCTTCCATAGATAGTGATTCCTCTGATAGATCTGGGCAAAGTGAATTGAAAACCTTCTGGAAAGCATTTACCATTCTAGATGCCATTAAGAACATTAGTGATTCATGGGAGGAGGTCAAAATATCAACATTAACAGGAGTTTGGAAGAAGTTGATTCCAACCCTCATGAATGATTTTGTGGGGTTCAAGATTTCAGGGGAGGAAATAACTGAAGATGTGGTAGAAATACCAAAAGAAGTAGAATTAGAGGTGGAGACTAAAGATGTGACTGACTTGCTGCAATCTTATAATAAAACCTGAGGGTATGAGGAGCTGCTTCTTATAGATGAACAAGAAAAGTGGTTTCATGAGATGGAATCTATCCTAGTGAAGATGCTGTGAACATTGTTGAAATGACAACAAAAGATTTAGAATAGTATGTAAACTTAGTTGATAAAGCAACAGCAGGGAGAGGATTGACTCCAATTGTGAAAGAAGTTCTATTGTGGGTAAAATGCTATCAAACAGCATCACATGCTACAGAGAAACCTTTTGTGAAAGGAAGAGTCAATCAATGTGGCAAATTGCATTGGTGTCTTATTTTAAGAAATTGCCACAGCCACTCAACCTTCAGCAAGCACCACCTGGATTAGTCAGCAGTCATCCGCACTCAGGCAAGACCCTCTACCAACAAAAAGATTACAACTTGCTGATAGCTTAGATGATTATTAGCATTTTTTAGCAATATTCACTTTATTGCCATGGTCTGGACACAAACTTGCAATAGCTTTGAGGTATGCCTGTATTCTCTAATTTAATCAAAGAATTGGCCATTCAAAAACAGGTTCGGAAATTTTTTCTTGCTCCAAATATGACATCTTGGACTACTGAAGATGATTTGGGGTTAAATATTTTAAATGACAATAGACAAGATAAAACAGTTAAGTTTTATCTATATAGTAAAGACTTGGGATGATGTCTAAGACAAAATAGAGAGCTAGAAATAAGAAAGGTAGCAGAGATAGGAAAATTAGAAGGAATAAATTAAAATGTCCCAAACCTTCAGTCCTGGAAAGCCTGGTGGCCCAGGAGGACCTTCTAGACCAATTCTTCCAGGTGTCCCAGGTGCTCCTGGAGGTCCTGGAATTCCAGGAAAACCTGTAAAATGATGTCATTTTTAATCCCCAAAGAGGAGACACTTTAAGAAAGATATCCAAATTCCCAAACCCACATTTTCACCTTATCCAATCATGCTTAGTAACTGCAGTATGATGTTAAAAGTACAATGACATGCTATATGACTACTTACGTTAGGATCAGGCCTTACAGATATCTGATATTCCCTCACTATACCTTATGATCCTATTATTTTCACATAGAACTACTGTGTAGCAGATATGCTCTTCTGAAGAAAAATGAGGGCTATTACATAATAAGATAGAACTTAATGTAAGAAATGAATGCCACACAAAAACACAGAAGAACTTTTGTTCTGCTTACATCTGGATATAGTATGATAAAGGTCTACCATATAATTCTGCACATGAGCTAAAAACAACTGCAGATATTACACACATATAATCATATCTGACACTTTAGAAAGTACATGGTATAAATGAGTAAGGATATATTTAAGAACTGTCCTCAAACCAATGTGCACTCTTGTCATTCATGAGAATAAATTCTGTGAAAAATAAAGCAGAACTAAAGCAACAGTCCTAAAAAATTTCAATAAATCAAGAGAGTATTATTTAGGATAAAGCATTGCTTAGATATGTGTATGCAGTAAATCTGTTTTCTGTTTAACACAATGTATTAATTCAACAAGTATCTACCAAGTGCTTTCTATGTGTCAGGAACTGCTCTAAGCCCTGAGAATACAATGGTAAACACAAAAGATAATAATTCTCATGATTTTTTTAGCTTATATATCATTTCAGTATATATACAATTTCAATATTTTCTTGTCCAGACCGTTTTAGGTAAGTATAATGAACTAAAAGTTCGTATGTACTGTGACTATCCATTTATGTTCTTTACAGCATACAAAAAGGTACAATTAATATATTTTATTTGTTGGTGAATTATATCAAAGAAAAACATCATACTAATCAGCTAACCTACCCTGCTCGCTACCCATTGCAACATACCTTTGGGGCCAGGTGGTCCAGGAAGCCCAATTCCAGGTATACCTGGTTCTCCTTTGCTACCAGGTATTCCTGGCAAGCCTGGTTGGCCTGGGAGTCCAGGGTCACCTATGCAGAAACAGCAGTTTTTTAGAAAGGGAAATGTTCAAATAAAAATAGCCAACAGTATTAAAGACGTTTTGAAATAAAATTCTCATATACCTGGAAGACCTACTTCACCATCTCTGCCTGGGTTACCAGGCAAGCCAGGCTTCCCTGGCTGGGTTATGGTCTGACCTGGATCGCCTTTAGGACCTGAGAATAAGAGTAAATCAGTGGTGAATGAGAGATTTTTACCTGACTAAAGATCTCTTTTAATTACAAACAAAAAGGGAAATCATCAATGATCTTTTGAAAATGCTAACAAAAATTCACAAGAAAAACAATCCCACATTATATATTCAAGGAAGATATCAAGCAGAAAAATTTCAAAGAGAAAAAGTAGATAACAGCTTTAAGAGTTTCCATGATTGAAGATGTGTGACAATTAATTTCAGGTGTCAACTTGACTGGATTAAGAGATACTCAGATAGCTCGTAAAACATTATTTCTGGGTATATCTGTGAGGGTGTTTCCGAAAGAGGTTGGTATTTGAACAGTGGACTGAGTAAGGATGATTCACCCTCACCCAATGTGGGCGCACACCACCCAATTAGCTGAGGGCCCAGACAGAAGAAAAAGGCAAAGAAAAGGTGACTTTTCCCTCTCTTTCTCTTTTGGAGCTGGGATACCCATCTTCTCCTGCCCTTTGACATCAAAACTCCAGGTTCTCTGGCCTTCAGACTCTGGGACTTGCACCCACAGCCATCCAAGTTCCAGCTCTCAGACTTGAACTGAGCCACACTGCTGGCTTCCCTAGTTCTCCAGCTTGCAGGCAGCCTACTGTGGGACTTCTGAGCCTCCACAACTGTGTGAGTCAAATTCCCTAATAAATTATCTCTCATCTGTTTGTCTATCTATCTATCTATCTGTCTATCTATCTATCTTATGAGTTCTGTTTATTTGGAAAACCCTGAAAACCTTATAGATGTTATCTATAAAAAATATCTTAAAAATCAAATTGTAGTAAACAAGGAAAATATTTCTTTTTGGTCAACTAATGGTACTTTTACATTTTATGCATGCAAAGTCCAAGTACAACTACTTCTCATTAATTGAAATAGGAGCTTGGGATGGGCTCAGAAAAAAGAAGGATTTCCTAAACATGATACAAAAAGCACTAACCATGAGAGAAAAGATTAATAATTTTGACTATACTAAATTGATTTCTGTTCATTAAAGACACTATACAGAGTATGAAAATAGCCAATAATGGCAGGTAAAAATTCATAGCTAACTAAAAACTAATACACAGAATATTCAAATAACTCCTCTAAATCAATAAGGAAAAAAAAATAGAAAAAATGGCCAAAACACTTGAATAGGCATTTCACAAAAGGAAACTCAAATGCCAATAAACATATGAAAAGGTGCTCAACTTTAATGTAATTAGAGAAATGCAAAATAAAACTGCTATGAGATACTATCTCATCCACATTCAACAGATTAGCAAAAACATAAAAGTCTTGACAATTCGAAAGGTTTGTGAAGGTGCAGAGCAGCAAGAACTCTCTGACACCGTTTGTAATAGTATAAATTGGTATACTTGCTCCGGACATAGTTTGGAACTATCTAGTCAAGCTGAAGATGCACTTATCCTATGCCTCGAAAATGCTAATCTTAAATATATATCGTAGCCCAGGAATTGGTAAGCATTTTCGGTAAAGGATCAGACGATAAATACTTTGGTCCTTGAAGACCACACGGTCTCTTTAGAAACTACTCAACTCTGTTGTTGCATTGCAAAAGCAACTAGAGATGACAGTAAATGGGTGTGGATGTGTTCAAATAAAGCTTTTATTTATAACAACAGATGGTGGGCCAGATTTGGCCCATGGGCCCTAGTTTGCCAACCCCTTCCCTAGAGAAGTGTGAGCACAT